TCTGTGTGTGTGTGTGTGTGTGTGTGTGTGTGTGTGTGTATGTGTGTGTGCGTGCGTGTGTGTGTGTGAGCGAGTGTGTGCGTGTGTGAGTGTGTGTATGTGTGTGTGCCTGTCTGTCTATCTATCTCGGTGTCTCACTGCCTCTCTCTATGCATACACACCCACACCCACACCCACACCCACACCCACACCCACACCCACACCCACAAACGTACCTTTTCCTCTCCTTCCCTCCTCTCTCAGCTCTCCCAGTATGTGATACGTATATGTGTACACATTTATCCGTTTACTTGTCGGCTTCTCTCTTCTACAAAACCTGGCCAAAGGTCAAATATGTCAAAGTCAACCCAGTTGTGAGCAGCAGAGCTGCAGGCTTCAAGATTTCTTCCTCTACCCTCTGTCTTCCACGTTACCGTTATTCCAATCGCCAATCACAGAACTAGAGGAACTAATCCATGCGGAGATCTCAACGATCTCTGTTGCACTGAAATGCTCCTCCCATAGAAGGACGGCCCCAGGGCCTGGCAAAGGTTACCGAATGTGCGCTCGCAGAGGGGAGGCGTCTATTACTTCATTTACCTTCTGCCTTTCACTTTCTTCCTTTCATAATGTGCAGTCTGCACGGCCATTTCTTGCAAGGTTACACTTGCCATATCACCTCAACCTTGCAGCCAGCGCATCGACCCCGTGCCAATCACTCCGCTCGCATCCAGTTCGCTTCTTTTTTTTTTTTCCGCTTCTCCAATCAACAGTAATGCCAAAAACGTTCCTGCAATCAACAGTAATGCCAAAGAAGTTCAAACGCTACAACAAAATGAAGCCGAAAAACTTGGTTTCGAAGTTCGAACACTACGGTCTTCCCATCGAAGAGAACACCCGGTCATTATAGAGCTGTATTTGGGGCAATTTCCACACACATACAGCGACAACAACTGGGCGTTCTATTCAGGTGAAGACGGTAGACCTATAAGAAGCCAAACAAGTTTCAAACAGTAGAACAAGAAGCTGCCAAACCCGCCCAGGTGGCTAAATGGTACAAAGTACTACACAGTGTACACACCTATGTAACTGTTCATAAACAGACCTGAGTTTGAATCCTTGAGGAAACTGATGACTCTTGAATTACCCGAGGCCACTCAGTTTGATGATGATACTGGAAGGAATAGGAGCGAGAGCGATAGACAGAAAACCAAATTGCAAAATCACGCTGTAGTCCAGAGAGTCATGTACCAAGCAGAGAGCACAATGCACCAACATACCATCCCAATAAGAGCAATACAATGAACCCAATGTCAATGTCGCGCTCTCTGGCCACACCAACGTAGTATCCAATGTCGCTCATTCAGAACGGCACTCAGCGCGCAGTCTACTCTACTCAGCCTAACTAGCCTATCCTACATTCATGCAATTGGAATCACATCGAACCTGAAGACAAGTGCACATGATGTGGTCGCCAATGCAGACTGCCAACATACACCAGGTATGTGCCTCACTCCTTCCCTCATCATCCCTGTCTCCCCACAGCATGCGCCTCCTACCCAAAGACCACCCTCACCATCACCGTGCATGCGCCCAGCAGACCGGCTACAGCCGCCGTGCGCCCGCTGCCACCACAGCGCCCCTCTCTCACCTCCAGCGCCCAGCGCTAGCACAGCTGCTCGTGCGTCAACGCAGCAGCGTGGCCAGATTGCCTACAGAGGCCAGAATACCTCTGGCTGGAGAGCTCACTTTCCTTTTATGGAAAGTGAGCCCTGCTTGTTGCGCCCTGGGCCTGGCTGGGCGAGTTTCCAGTAGCTTCCAGTCGGGCCCCAGTATCTGCGCCCAGGCCCAGTTTCAGATACTGGCATGGGCCCTGTGCAGTTGGGCACGTCCAGGTAGCCCACGAGGCTCCAAGTGTTCGTCGCAATCCCATTGGCTCATGGCAAGTGTGTGATGGAGCTGCATTTTAATTGGTCCGTGGTCGCTATGGCCGCTACCTGACTTGTCGCGTGTGCCCAGGGCCTCAACCGAATGAGCCCTGGGTTCAACTGTAAGACGCAGCTGCTGTTTCTGGAAAGAGCCAGAGAAGGCTCACGTTGCCCTGTAACTAACTGGCCTGCTGCAACTGTCTGGTACCCCACATACGAAAATGGCAAAAGTAGGCCTCACGCGAATACGCAGGCCTGCCTTCACTTAGGACGGGCATGAGGCTTGCTGGGGGCCTAAGCCCAGATCGTGTGTATGCCCGAGAAGGGCCTTGTGGGGCTCAAACCTCGCATTCCATCCCCCTTAGCTTCGAAAGTCCGCTGAGATGCTTCTACCCAGGTGCTTTGCCCTTCAACTTCCGTTCATATTCTGCAATGACCTGAGGTGCTGTTCTGACCAGTTCCTCTCTTGTGAACCAATGGTCTTCTCTCGGATCCATATGATGCCTGAATCTGACCCTGTACTCCCATGTAGGTTTTGGCGGTCTTCCCCTGCCCACATGCTTGGGAACAGGCAAATCTCTATGTTCCAAGATATCGTCGCCATCCACATGGTCATCCATGGATGGGGGCAGCATTGATCTCCTTGACGGGAACTTGTCAGTCTCAGTGAAAGGTGCAAGCTTGGAAGCATGACACGGTAAGTGCGCAGGTGACCAGGGATTCTAATCACATAAGAGGGACCATCCAACTCGTTGCCCACGATGTCCAATATTTCCCGAGAACTGAAATATTGACGCATTAGTTTTCTTGAGATGCCGAATTCGTGTCCCAACCCACTAGCCTTTACCCAGACATGTTCCCCTACCTGAAATGTAGACTTCGTTTGTGCTTGTTCTCAGAGGCGATCATTGCCTCCTGAAATTTTATAATATGCTCGACAGCCTGCAGGAGGTAAGAAGTCTAGTCCAGATTTAGGCTTCCACCCCAAATGCAGTTCATTTGGACATACAATGAGGTAGCTTCTCATCTCAGTCATCCTAGTTGGACTTGATGTAGTGCCTTAGTAGATGCGCGGTTCATCTGTTCCACCTCTCCGTAGGTTTTGGGTTAATTTCCCGAAGTCATTTGGAGTCGACTGCCTATCTGTTCAGCAGCGTTTTTCCACAGTTCGTTGGTGAACCACACACCTCTATCGCTCACTATGATCTTGGGCAATTTGAAAAATGACGCACCCAGTTATCCATGAATAACTTAACGACGTGGTCAGTCTTTGCAGTCTCAGGCATGGAAATTAGTCTAGCGTACTTTGTAAGCCGGTCAACTATGACGAAAAGGTGCCTCTTGGCACTCTTGCTGGTCACGATGGTATCCATGAAGTCTATGGAAACGCTCAGTCTGGACCCGCAGGAATAGACACGGGCTCGAGTAACCCAAGTGGTGCTTGAGTTCGCGGCTTGCCCCCCTGGCAGACTTGACAAGTCTGGATGAATCTTTTTACATCGTCAAGCATAGTCAGCCACCAGAAACGCTGTACTAAATTAGCACTAGTCTTTTTGTATCCAAAATGCCGAATCGCATCCTGACATTCTCCTAAAAATAAACTACGCAAAGACTCACTAGACAACACACACAGTCTTTTGAACCCTGCCTTTTCAAGAAAGAGCAGCCCATCCACCATCACAAACTCATCAGATGTGGCCTTGTCTTGGGCCTCAAGTTTGCGTACAATGTCCATCATGACAGGGTCTTCCTTGTAGGCATCAACCAAGGATCGAGTTACATCATCCGACAAGCCAAACTCAATTAACGCACCTAGGTAGTCTGCCCTTCGCGACAGCGCATCAGCAACCTTATCATACTCTCCCTTCACATAGTCTAGTTCGAAGTCATATTGATCAACGACTTCGATCCAGCATTTGAGTGTATCGGAAAGAACAGGCTGCATCTTGATCCACTCAAGTGTCAGATGGTCGGTCCTCGAATAGAAGAACCTCCCCAACGTATAATATCTCCAATGGACAAAAGTTTTATAAAGGGCGTAGAATTCCCTTTCATAGGTGGATTTCGCCAACTTCTTTGATGACATCTTTTTACTCATGTACTCGATCGTCCTTAACTTCTTCCCTTCCTGTTGAGCCAGCACTGCGCTTGCGTCGGTGGTCACAATGAATGGCTTGTCGGGATCAGAAAGCATGAGAATCTCATGATGTGTGAGAGCATTCTTCAATCTTTTGAAGGCTCTCTCGCATTCGTCGGTCCATTCCCATGGTGTGTCAAAGCGTGTTAGATCAGTCAAGGGGGCAACCACCGCACTATAGTTCTTCACAAAGTTGTGGTAGTAGCCTGTCATCCCCATAAAGATTTGACCTTTGTATGACTGAGGTCGTGGCTAGTCATTAATACTAGTCACCTTCGCACCTTTGAGCCTAACCCCATCCGCGGATATCTCATGACCAAAGTACAAGATTTTGGTGTGACCGAACTCGCATTTCTCCAAGTTGATCTTACACTCGTGCTGCCGCAGGAGTCCTAGCACAAGGTCAACATGTTGTGCGTTGTCCACGACAGTCTTACAAAAGATAAGAATATTGCCGAGGTACGCGACAATAAACTTATCTAAGTACTCATGGAATACCCTATTCATGGCGTGTTGGAATGTACCCGGCGCATTGCAAAGGCCGAAAGGCATCACCACAAACTCGTAC